GCCAGCAGCCCCTCGGTGCGGACCTGCTGCACGCCAACGGGACGCTCCGCCGCCTCGGGCTACCGCCGACCGACCGGCAGCGCGACGGGATGAGCGACGAGGCGCAGCGGGCCGCCTGGCCGCCGCACGCGACGCACTACGGCCACGAGGACATCATGGCGCTGCAGTTCGAGGGAGGCGCAGCCGCGCCGCCGACACAGCAGGGGCAGGCGGCGAGGTCAGACAGCCAGCGGCAGGCTACCGCCGCCGGCGGCGCCTCCGCAGCCAGGCGAGTGGCTCGGATCGAGTTTACAGACGGGTCCAGCTGCTCCTGCGCCGCCGACTGCACTCAGCGCCGCTACCTCAAGGACTGCTGTGTCGACTGGCTGCACGCGTGCAAGGCAGACCGTTTATAACGCATATGTCAGCACTGGGAGTCTTCACGGATCCGCATATTTCTTGTTGGAATTCAAAAAACTCCCAGCGCCCTGCAGAAAAAAAAGAAAGAAAGAAAGAAAACAGACACGCCAAACGAGGGATGGGACGAGGACAGGGTCCCCACCTGCACGAGCAGGATTTTGGAAGAACGATCTGAGGGGGACAGGTGGGGCTCTCCTGCTCCTGACAAGGGACACGACAGCTCGCAGCGCGGTGCGCGGTGGACTCCCACATCCACTGGCGGTCTCATCTCAGTCTAGCGACCTGCCTCCAGCTTGTCGCTGGCAGTCTCTCCTACCACAGGCACACTGACACAGGGGTGGCAGGGGCGGCGGCACGAGTCTCCCACATACTATGCGGGCCTCACTAGAGGTGCGGCCTGTGCGTGTCCTCGCCCTTGAGGGGGGAGGGGAAGGGGCTGTGTGTCTGTGCATGTGTGTGTGCATGTGTGTGTGTGTGTGTGTGTGTGTGTGTGTGTGTGTGTGTGTGTGTGTGTGTGTGTGTGTGTGTGTGTGTGTGTGAAAAGAAAGAAAGGACTGCTTGAAGAATTCTTTTTTCTCGCTGAGTTAGTGCTAGCACGCGCCGCCAGTCCTTTTGCCGCACGCTACACCCGGCCACAGGGCCAATATGTCCGCCCGGGGCTTCCTGATCCCCACCTTGCGCGCCCTCTTGATCGCGTTCGCGCTCTTCGAGGCCGTCAACATCCGGCTGTACGCGGTCCGCACCTACGGCCGCGTCATCCACGAATTTGACCCGTGGTTCAACTTCCGCGCCGCCGAGTACATGGTCGCGCACGGCTGGGGCGCCTTTCAGGCGTGGTACGACCACGAGGTGTGGTACCCGCTCGGGCGGCACGTCGGCTCGACGACGTACCCCGGCCTGCAGCTCACCGCCTGGGGCGTCCACAGCGCGCTCGCGGCGGTTGGCCGGCCCGCCTCGCTCAACGATGTGTGCGTCTTTTTGCCCGCCGGCTTTGGCGCGCTCGCGGCGGGCTTCACGGGGCTGCTGGCGTGGGAGGTGACGCGGAAGCCGAACGCGGCGGCGCTCGCCACGGCCATCATGGCCATCCACCCCGGCCACCTCATGCGCTCCATCGCCGGAGGCTTCGACAACGAGTCGATTGCGGTCGCGGCGATGGTCAGCACCTTCTACCTGTGGGTGCGCGCGCTGCGGTCGGACGCCTCGTGGCCGGCGGCGCTGCTCTGCGGCGTGAGCTACAGCTACATGGTCGCCGCGTGGGGCGGCTACGTCTTCGTCCTCAACATGATTGGCATCCACGTGCGGGACACTCCCGGGACACTTCCGAGACATTGCTGAGGCATTGAGGGGACACTGCCGAGGAAAGGAGACACTT